TCCTTGATGGAAATTTTGTGAAGGTTCAAAGGGCACGCCCGAATTTGAACCGAGGACCTGCTGATCTGCAGTCAGCCGCTCTACCACTGAGCTACACACCCACTCACACAATTCGACTAGTCCTCTATTTGACCTATTTTCATTCAAAATTTCACTCCTCACTGTGTCGTTCACAGCCAGCTCGATCGAGTCGTCCTCTAATGATTCTCACTAAACCTATCTACCTATCACCTTAGGAGGGTGGCGTCTTATCCATTGGGCCAGCAGGGCGATGATTCAACTTCGGATCATGTTGATGTCTGTGACTGTTTCGCCGATTACATGAGTGATTACTCTACCTCTCGAAAATTCCTTGATAAAAATTTTGCGAAGGTTCAAAGGGCACGCCCGGATTTGAACCGAGGACCTGCTAATCTGCAGTCAGCCGCTCTACCAATTGAGCTACACACCCATACACACAACTCGACTAGTCCTCCATTTGACCTATTTTCATTCAGAATTGCACTCCTCACTTGGTCGTTTACAGCCAGCTCAATCGAGTCGTCCTCTAATGATTCTTACTAAACTTATCTACCCTACCCGAGGATCGAACTCGGAATCTCCACCTTAGGAGGGTGGCGCCTTATCCATTGGGCCAGCAGGGCGATGATTCAACTTCCGATCATGTTGATGTCTGTGACTGTTCCGCCGATTACAGGAGTGATTACTCTACCTCTCCAAAATTCCTTGATGAAAACTTCGCGAAATTTCAAAGGGCACGCCCGGATTTGAACCGAGGACCTGCTAATCTGCAGTCAGCCGCTCTACCACTGAGCTACACACCCATGCACACAATTTGACCAGTCCTCCATTTGACCTATTTTCATTCAAAATTTTACTCCTCACTTGGTCGTTTACAGCCAGCTCAATCGAGTCGTCCTATAATGATTCTCACTAAACTTATCTACCCTACCCGAGGATCGAACTCGGAATCTCCACCTTAGGAGGGTGGCGCCTTATCCATTGGGCCAGCAGGGCGATGATTCAACTTCCGATCATGTTGATGTCTGTGACTGTTCCGCCGATTACAGGAGTGATTACTCTACCTCTCCAAAATTCCTTGATGAAAACTTCGCGAAATTTCAAAGGGCACGCCCGGATTTGAACCGAGGATCTGCTAATCTGCAGTCAGCCGCTCTACCACTGAGCTACACACCCATGCACACAATTCGACTAGTCCTCCATTTGACCTATTTTCATTCAAAATTTCACTCCTCACTGTGTCGTTTACAGCCAGCTCAATCGAGTCGTCCTATAATGATTCTCACTACACTTATCTACCCTACCCGAGGATCGAACTCGGAATCTCCACCTTAGGAGGGTGGCGCCTTATCCATTGGGCCAGCAGGGCGATGATTCAACTTCGGATCATGTTGATGTCTGTGACTGTTTCGCCGATTACATGAGTGATTACTCTACCTCTCGAAAATTCCTTGATGGAAATTTTGCGAAGGTTCAAAGGACACGCCCGAATTTGAACCGAGGACCTGCTGATCTGCAGTCAGCCGCTCTACCACTGAGCTACACACCCATACACACAATTCGACTAGTCCTCCATTTGACCTATTTTCATTCAAAATTGCACTCCTCACTGTGTCGTTTACAGCAAGCTCAATCAAGTCGTCCTTTAATGATTCTCACTAAACCTATCTACCCTACCCGAGGATCGAACTCGGAATCTCCATCTTAGGAGGGTGGCGCCTTATCCATTGGGCCAGCAGAGCGATGATTCAACTTCGGATCATGTTGATGTCTGTGATTGTTTCGCCGATTACATGAGTGATTACTCTACCTCTCGAAAATTCCTTGATGGAAATTTTGCGAAGGTTCAAAGGGCACGCCCGAATTTCAACCGAGGACCTGCTGATCTGCAGTCAGCCGCTCTACCACTGAGCTACACACCCATACACACAATTCGACTAGTCCTCCATTTGACCTATTTTCATTCAAAATTGCACTCCATGAAGGTCCATTTATGGGGCTAGTTCAAGGACGAATGTATTGAGATTTACTGTTAGATGGGAACGAGCTCAGAGACCTCCTCGTGGTGTTCCTGGAAACTCAACTATAATGTTTTATTTTTGAGGCTAACATCTGAGCATTCGATTGTTTGGCTGGTTTGATTATCAAACCAGCCAAATTGGCGTTGATTCCCAAAAAGAACTTTGATGAAAATGTTAGCAATTGGGGCGAGCAGCCCGAGGAAGCATTGAGAAAGTCGTTTAGGGTCATAGAAGATTACAAGAGGAATCTTTGCAATAATAAAGTGATTATGAAAGAAACCAATGCATTACCGACATATCAAAGTCTCGCCCGTTTACTCGAGCACGTAGCACAGTTGGAGGCCAAAACGGGTAGAAGGTACGTTGTTTTCGAAAGCGATGTCCAATCCGCTTATAGGACGATACCGATAATCGCGAGTGAGAGGAACTTCCTCGTTGCCGAGGTGAATTCGGTTAAAGTGAGGCACACTAGACTCCCCATGGGTCTACGGTCGAGTGCATACATGTTCTCAAGGGTGTTCTCTTCGCTGCATAGGATTCTAAGAAAACTGATGAATCCTCTGGAAGCCGGTGGGTTGAGTTATCTCGATGATAACTGTTGCTCCAGAATGCATGGAAGAAGAGGCGATTTGTGTGTTGCTGCTGATACCAGCAGCGTGCGGGGTAGATTACGCATGGGAGAAAATACAATGTCGCACATGTCGCACAATATCCTCGTCGCAATGTCATTGCGACGAGGATAACAGTTTTGGAGGATTCACGATAACAAGAGATTGCAGTGAAGATTTCGTGGTTAGTCTTCCTCGTCGTAAGCAACAGAAGGTCGTAGAGCAAATAGCGTCTGTTCTGGAGAGGGGAGTAGTGAAAGCCGAGGTGTTACAGAGTCTCATCGGCAAACTATTATTTTACACCCAGATGTTCCCAAGATATCGGGAAGGGCTGTCTCACCTGTACAGTCTGTCCACTGTCATGCAGAATGAGCATTTACATGGCGTAAGGTGTTCCGAGAGAACTGCGGATTGTCTAACTAGGTGGCTTGAAGTTGTCTCTTCGAATTTCGAGAGGAAGTGAAGCCGTGGAGCGTGGGTGTCGTGCCGAGCGTCAGAAGGACTCAGAGGGTCTGATATTGACTGACGCCTCCACCGTGGCCTTGGGATGTATCGTCGTACGATCGTCCAGCACGGCTGAGATTGGCTCTTATAGCCGACTCCTCGTTGAAGACTTGGCAATGGTTGAGGAGATCAACGTGCACCAAAGGGCGAGTAGCGACATGGTTGCTTTGGAGCTTACCGCAACTCTGATGGGTGTATTGTTGGCGAAAAAAATGGGGTTGGACCTCTCCAAGGTCCTGATACTGTCGGATTCAAAATCGGGTATTAGTGCGCTGAAGAAGGGCTTCTCCGCAAAAGTCGGTCCAGCCAGGTTGGTTGCCGTTATCACACAAATCATGAGCGACGGGAATCCCGTCACGGGATCGAGGTGTCGAATTTATCTAGTGATAAGGTAAATCATATTGAAGGGCTGCTAAACGTAGATGCTGACAAAGTCTCGCGTGATATTAGCTATACGCCACCGGGGTTGGTTGAAAGAAAAGTCTCATTCGAAGAGGTGAAGAGCGTGTTAGTCGAAGGAAGGTTTTAAATAGGCTGATCAGATCAGTGTGTAATGGGCAGGAGCGTTTCGTTATGACGAATAAATGTTCAGTTTGTTGTCGTATCACCAATGACGTCTTATAATGGTTAGTTGAGTACTTTTGTCGCCTATTGTTCGTGCAAAAATGGCCAAAGGAGGGAAGGGTGGAAAAGGCAGAAAAAACAGAGAGCGAAAGAAACAAAGGTATCAGTAGGGCGCAACAGATGAAGAGGTTCAAGGAGGCGCAGCCGTTGGAAGGATTCGAAGAGGAATCTCGATTGAATGAACAGCTGAGGGGAAGATCGATTAGAACATCGACCATGCAACAATACAAGACAGCAGAGAAGCTGTTTTTAGAAGTGAGCTCATATCCTATTAACGCAGACATACTCCAGCTATTCATAAGGGCGTTGCTGTCATTGGAGCCAAAGCTGAATAGCAACACTATCTCTCAGTATGTGACTAGTGTCAAAACATTATCGGCAATTAAGGGGCACCCTCATTTGGATAGTCAGGATGAATTTCTGGTGAAGAGGGCGTTAGCCGGAGCACGTAAAATCAGGGAATCAGCCAGTGTTAGTGCTAAGGAAGCGCCGATAATCTCGGATGAAGCCGTTAGAGCTATAGTGAACTTAGAAACCACTGTTGGATCGGTAAGTGATCAGCTAAGAGTGTTAACGCTCATGAGCATTGGAATTGTAAGCAGGTTGGATGAAACTTGGAATCTGAGGGGGAAAAATGTTCACATAGCACAATCGACGAATCAATTGAGAGTGATTATTGATATTTGGAACCCCAAAACCGTGGATGGTCGGATACAGAAGACAGTGGAGTGTTGTTCGGGAACGAAAGGGAAAGCGTGCGGGACACTTTGGTGCGTAGCGCACGAATTAAAGGAAAGGAAAGAGAACTTGGTTGCGGATGATTTGAGAATCTTTCCTGATATACGCAAGACGACCTACGCTCGAAAGTTGAAGGATCTTCTGCAACAGCAATTGCAGTAATGCTGACAACCAGTGCGTTGTGGCCAGAACTAGGACCAGATGGCAACGACTGCTTTGCGCTCCCAATGTCATGAACTAAGCGTGTGTAGCACAAGTTCTGGCGACTGTCACAACTAGCGATGCTTGCCAACATCTAGCCATGAGCAGTCTATCAGCTTGTTCCCTGTATTCAAGATGAATCACATCATTAATATCTAATACTATTAGACTAATAGAGATTATCTTTATCCGATGCCCTAAGAGATAGAATCTGGCAACGCAATCACTCTGATTTGAACGTGACCAAATACGACAACACAGACATGAGAAGCACGGACGACCGTCACTGCGCGGATCGTTTGCGGTACTCCCTTAGCTCCTTGATTAGGGGAATGACGTTCTTCCCCTCATCAGCATATCTAATTAGCCTCAGCTTCATCTATGTGAACAAAATGTTAGACCTACTCGCCTATACGTTCGGATGCATAGGAGTGGAAAGCGAGAGTTTCGGCCTCAGTTACAGTCTTCGCTCTGTTAATGACCATCGCTTCACTGAGAGCACATGCACTACGAACGCCATCGCCAAGATCGTACTCACATTTCTGCTTCCCTCCTCGCTCGACGTTTTTTCTCTGCCACTTGACGCTTTTGCTCCATCGCTATGTACTCAGCCGCTCTCCTACGGGAAGCTCGCTCTTCTTTCTCGTCTTCGTCTACAACCAGAAACTGTTGTTGCTTGCTCTTGCCGTGCCACATCAGCGTGCTCACTGAGTTTCTCGAACATTTTCCCCGAATAAGCTGCCATTTTCTTGCCCATCTCCTGTTCATATTCCTTCGCCCTCCTTTTCTTCTCCATCTGCAGGCTGCGTGACTTTTCGAGTGCGTTTTTCCACCTGTCGGGCAGGTATTGGCACATGAAGTTGGGACTGATCTGCGACTTTCGCATTTTCTCTTCTTTCTTCACTCTGGCAGCCTCATGAGCCATTTCCTTTTCCAGGACTTGTCTTTCTAAACGTTGCTCTTCATTAGATTGAAGAGCCGCTAGCCGCGCCGCCTAACGGCATTACATCAGGAGCGTAAAATTGGCTCTTCACGGTTTCCATTGTGAGTATCGATAATTGAGAGAATGCTTACTTGATCTTCGATCATCTTTCTCCTCATCTCTTGTTTCGCAGTAAAGAGTTCCAGCTCTCTCTCCTTGCGCAGTTCGAGCTGTCGAGCTTTCTCCGCAGCATATTCCTCTAAAAGGCAGTGAAATGTTCCTGAAGTTGAAGCGTTCAACTGTGCCTATTTTGCGCTCTTCCTTGGCAGATCTCTTGGCTTCCCGTGCTCTGATTTCTTCCAAATATGCGTTTGCTTTCTGAGTCTCAACCAAGGCTTGGATTGCAACGTTGCGGCGTGCTTCCTCTGCTCGGCGCTGAAGCACGATAAACGAATTCTAATATCATGTGTCCATTCCGCCTTGGTATTATCCATGCTGTTAAAGATTAACAGCGAACTTGGCATTGTTAAGATATTGATAGTATCAATTTGATACAAGCACACGACTCACCTCAGCTTGAAGATCCTCTGCAGCCTTCTTTCTCAGTATCTCGCCCTCCACCATTTCGTCTCGGATCTCGGCCACACGTGTCTCTTTCCATTGGGCCAGCTGGGCTTGCTGAATCTACACCGAGGTGTACCATCCTTTCTCACGACAGTAAAGCCCACCTCGGCGGTCTTCTTTGCCTTCGCTTCATATTCAGACTTCTCCTTGAGCTCTCTCTCTAGCATCCTCTGATAGTTGAATTTGGCAACATCCTCAAACCGTTGATCCCTCAAGTGCTCGAGCTTAGCCAATTCTTCCTTAAGCCGTACCTGGTCGTCATTATTCATGATTGCAGCTAATTTCTAGGATACCTGCGCCTCACGCTCGGCCAATACGTCACTATACATCATGGCACTGTGGAAGCTCTTGATACGATCAGTCTGCTCCTTGAGGATCTTATTGGCTCGCTGAATAGCTTTGCGTCTCTCTTCTAGCTGGTATCGAGCTTCCTCCATATCAATTCTCTGCCTGATCGGAAATCCTCTGATTTGCATGCTCCTCAAAACTCGAAGAAAAGCACACTCGTGAGGACTCCTATCGCGACAGGTGGATGACCGGCCTACCTCTCTCGCTCTTCTCTCTCAATACGCTCTATACGATCTTGTTCCTTCTTCTTGCGACTTCCATCTAAGGTGTTTGACCAGCCCCCGGCTCGAGCTTTCGACTTCTCATGCATAGCGAGAGCCTGCGAGCAGGAAAGACCATACGCTCACCGAGGAGGAGTCAACTCGGCTCAGCGAATACCCGCTCTCGCTTCTCAGCTACTGCTTTGTCATCATCGGTCTGACCAATGGCCGACTTCCGAATTCTATCGAGCTCGGAAGCATTGACAATCACCCCAGACATTGCTGAATGTAAGCCTGTGAACCACAAGTCACAATACCTTTTTCAATTTGGAAGATTGACATGAACACAGTATCGCATCACGGATAACATAGTGCGGGTGCACACAAACGATCTGTTCGCTGAGGCTAAAGAGTGATTAGGGTTCGAGTGTTATGTATATCCCGAATACCACACCCCAACTGGCAGCTGATACCGGCCAGTGATGGTCGTGCGCGCCAATAGCGTCGGCATTCCGAGTATCCGCCATGAATTGGGCGATATCGGCCGGGGCGACCAAATTTGAATTCAGGTCAGACACCGAGAAGCCAGTCCTCCCTCCCAATGAATGGCCATCAACGGTCTGGAATCTCCTTTAAGCAATCAATGATTACAAATAACGACGTCGAGAATTATTCAAAATGGTTTAGGAATGTTCAAGTCAACCTATTCGAAAACGGGAGACAGAACCCGTAGACGACTTGACGCAGTTTCCAAGACCCAGAAACGCCCATTCGCTTGAGCGAAAATTCTGCAACTTCTGAAGGTCTCCGGCAAGGTGAACAAACCAGTGAGCGTCTCCGTCTTCAGATCAACACGCCACAAACGCATCCCGGCCGCCCCACGTGAGAAGCCGCAGAGCCAAGCGAGTCGTCTTGAACTATCTACATCTAGCCATCCAACGGCGAAGTCAAAGGTAGTGATGGTTCTGCGTCCTACACTCGGGGTCCACAATATAAGTTCAGATTCGGGATGTCGCTTTAGCTGAGTCTGGATCCAGAAAAGCTGTGTTACACCGTCATGAGTGGCGGCTACCAGACATTGGTATTCACTCCCAGTACGGTCGACCACAGAGCTGATACCCACATCATCACGAACGCTTATCCGTACCACTCCTTCGGCATCTTCTGTCAACGCCAAAGCATAAACAAACCCGTCACCACAACAACAGGCAGAGAACAGAGCACCGACCCTGGCAGCACCAGAGGCTGACCTAATACGATGTCCTGGCCCGTCAGTAGCAGGACTAGAACCAGTCATAGGCGATTCCCAGTCATAGACACGGTGGAGCAGTCTGGTGATGTTATCAATCAGGATCAATGAGCCATCTGACGGGTCGACGCACATACTAGAAATACTTGCCAAGGCATCGGCATAATCCAGGCTGGTGACACGGCCTTCTAGGTCAACTTTGCCGAGACGAAACCCGATGCTAGGAACCAACCACACGAGACCATCGGCATCAGGTTTTCTACAAAGAATAGGACCAACCAAGCAAGGCGTGAGATTGAACACGTCGAAACCCTCCATCACTGGCCAGGCGTAAGAGCAAATATCATAACGACAATCTATTCCATGTGCACGTGTGGCGAGCCAAGCGAGTACTACTACAGCACGCTCACGTTCCTCTGGACTGATTACCATCAGAGGAGGAAAAGCACTGCATCCATACTTCAACGCTTTGGTTACGCCAACTCAACATTCTGAGCGACGTTGAGAAAACAAGTACTCCACTACTCAAAATGAGTAGAAGATGAAGAATTATTGAAGCTGATGTTCTTATCGGCACTTTTTGCGAGGCTTCATTGGTTCTTTTGTAAGATACGCCTAGAAATGGCAAAAGCAGAAGATTACACTGGAACAGCGCAAGCCGCATCGATGACGAGGTCAATGAGGTTCCAAGCGAGATAAGGGCTACTTAAATGGTTGACCTAACCACCGCTGCTATCAATGTAGTCAACTACTACGCCCAGTAGAAGCCAGTCAAGCTTATTGCTGACAAAGGAGGCATCATACTTATCCGCTAAGGAGTGTGTAGTAACATCTCGACTAGGCGAGTGACCAATCAGGGAATCATCGAGAAACCTATAATGTTTCCGGAGGGGACACATTTATAACCTTCCACACGATTAGCACCACTTTAATCAGCTTCCCGTGTAAATGTCATCACATTAGAAACAGTTTTCCCATTGTTATTGAATCTTGGAGAGCATTATTTCTCAAAGCCAAATGGATCCCTGTGACCGATACCGAAGGGAAATTGTTGCAGAACAATTTGCGCTCCCGACGGTACCCTCATATCTTCCACCCGACACGTAGTTTACATCACTGGTCAACTAACGTGGAGCATTGATCCAAATGACTACCCTCCAATTAATGGAACGCGAATAGAGATCTTCCATCCAGACAACGTATGCTTGACGAAGTAGCGGCTATCAGAACTTGAAAAAAGCCATCAACTTTTGCCAGATATCACTTGTAGCAATGCCTATAATGAGCCCACTACCCAGCAAGAGAAAGACGATGCCTGTTGTGCCGAGAAAATAGACAGCAGCACCGCCGCCAACGGCGAGGCAAAATAGCGTCAACCTGAGAGGAATACATCAACAGTATATCAATCTGGCCTTGCAAGATGAGTTCAGTGGCACATGCGTGTAATCAACTACGTGAGTTGGTGACAATGTGGAAATTCTGGGAAATCATTATTGATTTCTGTATACTCCTATCCGAATGTTTGTGAACACTAATGATTAGTGAGAAAACTCCCGAGCTCAGCTGAGGAAAGCGAACATATATTCCAACACAAAATTGGCAACTGTAATTTTCCGAGGCATTGGGATCCACTCACATTCCCTCCTTGGTCGCGACCAGCTTTACGACCGCATCAAGCCTGGACCTCCTAGGGTCTTCGAGACACTCCCCGATGTGTGCCTCCAATGGGTTGAACAATATATCGCCAAGAGCCAGATCAGTGAAGAGCTGCGGAATCCTCGTCTCTGGATCTGCCATTCAATTTCTCACTAGACGATTTCATCGTTAATACCTTTCAGTGTGGCGTACCGCTGAGTTTCGTATTCGAGAACGATAGAATCACCTAAGCCCAATAAAAATTATTCCCAACTTTCGCGCGACTCGGAGAGCTACCATATTTTTCCGCACATTCCTCTCCAACCCAACCTAGCTGGATGTCTATATCGACATCAGAAGGATCGAACTTATGGAATGTCGTCTTCTGCCTCCTCAAAGATGTCACTAACTCATCTGCTACATCCTTGCGCACAGAAGGTGACATGAGAACGCAATACCTAACCGTCACAAGTTCAACTTGGTCATAATGAAAAGTTACAGGGGGTGGCCCCTTATTAAATTAACACGCTGTATGAACAGCTGAGGAGAACTCACTGTCGTCACCCCCCAAGCCGAGATTGAAAGCCGCGCCCCGTTATTACACTTTCATCGAGTCAGAGACACTCTTCGATGGTCTACATAGTTGCTTAACATTAAGTTGGTTTATTTCCAACGGTACTTCCCTCAGCATCTCCGACAACGTTTCCTCGATCGTCTTGGTGCTCAACTGCCGAGTACTCACCTCACGCCCATCATCTAACAAGCCATGCCTCAATCATGGTGAACTCTAATAAGAGCAAATTAGGGAATGAAAAACAGTTCCAAACCAATCGCCTCTAGGATGATACGTGCCGACACTGACTACGTTTGATATCGTGCGAATCGTTATGATAGAGGCGACGATCCAGAAATTCCATGCGGAAGTTTGGAATGTGAAAATCACCCCTACCCTTTACTACAGTATAATTTAGCTACAATATCATTCCGACGAGGTAGTAATTGATCGCTGTTCACAACCAAGAAGTTCACTGCATGAGAAAACTTGTATCTGAAAGCTCGTACTGTTCCCCACCCAAGACCACAACTCATCCTCACATCATAGCTTTCAACAAAGGAGTGGTATGACTTGATCGCGTGTACACTACCATAATTGGGTGATCTGAAAACGCAGCCAATCCAACAGAGTGTGGCGAAAAATCATCACCGCTCAACATTGCTTCCTTCTCCGCCGTTTCCACAGACGTGACCGTCCGGTACACTATTGGCAGCTCGTGCAATATCCACCTAGCAGAACACTACCGCGCGCCACGAAATTAAACAGCAAAGTACCTCTTCAATGTCCTTGGATTTATCTCAGCGATCGGCATCAAACTAGGAGGGATCTCGGGATGGGCTGGCATGAAAAGGAAGATTGTCGGGGTTGTCCTCGGAGTTATCGGCAATGACTTGAACAGCTGACACATACAACAACCTCACATGTCTTCAGTGCCCCCTCATCGGTTTCGCCCCTTCTTCAATGAAGAGCGGTTCGTATCGTTCGGACATACTTCAACCCAGTACTCACCGCTCGATCAGTATGGGAGTTGATTCTCCCGAATTTGATGTACCCCTTGAGATCACTGGAGACCTCATCCCAGGCTGGCGCTATACTATGACAATATTCATCCAAGTCCGAATACACCTAAACACTTCGAAACTTCCCCTCCAAAACTGTCCTCCACTTACCTCGACAACCCCAATGTCAACTGAGTGGTCCATGATGCTATGATAGTTTCACTCGTGAGTCGAGCAGAGTAGTCGCTTGG